AAGGAAAAATACCTCATTGATATTGGTCCCCAACTCAGAAGCAGGAAAAAAAAAAAGCCCTCAACTAACAATTCAGGGCACCAAGGTTCCCCTCGTGCTCCAGACCTATGGGAGCGGGGAGGTGTCAATACTCAGAGCTTTCCCCTAGGGCTGGATTAACTTTTCTGGGGGCTGAGGTCTAGTAGATTTTAGGCTCACGGGTGGGGCCAAAATGGAGGGTTCAGTGTGCTAGAGGGGGCTACCATGCACTGGGCTAGGGATGGGAAAGCAGAGTCAGGGTGGGAGGGAGGGGGCAGGGGACTGGGACACTTATCTGGCGCAGCTCCCATTTGGCGGGGGAGGGGGAGCAGGTGGTTCCATGCCACTCTCCATACACAGGCACTGTCCTTCACCGCTCCCAGTGGCAGAGAAAAGCCCTGTGGGCGAGCACAGGGACAGAGCTTCCCAGGTCCAACCCTGTGAGGGGTGCTGAGGCTCAGAGACTCACAAGCAGGGCTGGAGCACAAGTGCAGCCTTGCGGAGGGCTACATCAAGGTAAGCCAGGGCTGGATCCAGTCTGTGGGCACAGGCTCCCCCATTCCTGCCAGAGGGAGTCAAAATCTGCTTTTCTGAAGCCACAGGTCCGTGTTCGGCTGCTCTCCTTTCTTCCTTTTGTCAGGATCCTAAATTCAACCAACTACAGCTGCCCAGGTTGCCACCTACTTCTACCAATTCTTCCTTGGTTGTTAGCAGCAGGTCAAGAGGCCTCCAGCATTTGGTTACTACAGCACCTGCACCAGGAAGTTGCACCCCCAACGCTCTCCAAAACCTTCCTGGATTGTCTGTGCACTGCTGTATTGTTCCCAGTGGATGTTGGGGTGTTTGAAGTCTCCCCTGAGATGAGAATCAGGACCCACAATCTGGAAAATGCTATTAGTTGTCTGAAGAAAACCTCATTTACCTCAACCTCCTGGTCTGGTGGTCTACAGCAAATGCCCACCATAACATCATCCTCAATGCTCTCGCCGGTACTCCTAGTCAATAGATTCTCAACAGGTTTCTCTCCAGTTTTGTACTGGAGCTCAGAGCGATCATACTGCTCTCTCACATACAGTACATCTTCCCCACCTTTTCTCCCCTCCTATCCTTCCTGGACAGTTGATACCAACAATGGGCAAGCCAGGCTAGTGAGTGGGCTGCACGAATGGTCCTCCATCTCAGTGGGCCACACGACTGTCGCAACCAAGATGGTCTCCCAAGATAGGGTCATTTTGCTAAATGTACTCGCATGCCTAGAATTTGTGGGGTGTGCCGACTGAACCCTAATAGCACATTGAATGCAGAGGGCTATTACAGTCAACGTTGTGTGCAATCATCACGCACCTCACTTTACATGCATCTTGCTGTGGGAATACTGGTAGGAAAAACACTATGTGTATGGAAACCCTGCACGTGGGTAATGGTAAATAAAATGTCTTGTGGGCCACACACAGAACCATGATTGTTGCCCACTAGTGGTTTATACCCATCCATGCCAGTGCTCCAGTCACATGAGTTACTCCACCAAGTCTCTGTTATGCCAATCACATCATAGTTCCTTGACTGCCAGGACTTCCAGTTCTTCCTGTTTGTTTCCCAGGCATCTTGCATTTTGTACAGGCACCCAAGATAAGCAGCTGATTGCCCTACATTCTTAGTATGGATCAGGCCTATCCTGCTACACCCTCTTTCTTGTGTTTTCCTTCTCCCCACTTACCTTGGTCACCCCTTCCCCGTAAACCAGGTTTAAAGCCCTCCTCACTGGGAAGCGACTGTCTGGGAAGGTGTACGGCAGAAACGGATGTATAGTGGACCACAAGTTGAATATGAGTCAGCAGTGTGATGCCGTTGCAAAGAAAGCAAACATGATTCTGGGCTGCATTAACAGGTGTGTTGTGAGCAAGACACGAGAAGTCATTCTTCCGCTCTACTCTGCGCTAGTTAGGCCTCAGTTGGAGTATTGTGTCCAGTGCTGGGCACCGCATTTCAAGAAAGATGTGGAGAAATTGGAGAGGGTCCAGAGAAGAGCAACGAGAATGATTAAAGGTCTAGAGAACATGTCCTATGAGGGAAGGCTGAAGGAATTAGGTTTGTTTAGTTTAGAAAAGAGAAGATTGAGGGGGGACATGATAGCAGTTTTCAGGTATCTAAAAGGGTGTCATAAGGAGGAGGGAGAAAACTTGTTCATCTTGGCCTCTGGGGATAGAACAAGAAGCAAGGGAGGTTTAGGTTGGACATTAGGAAAAAGTTCCTGTCAGGGTAGTCAGACACTGGAATAAATTGCCCAGGGAGGTTGTGGAATCTCCACCTGTGGAGATATTTAAGAGTAGGTTAGATAAATGTCTATCGGGGATGGTCTAGACAGTATTTGGTCCTGCCATGAGGGCAGGGGACTGGACTCAATGACCTCTCGAGGTCCCTTCCAGTCCTAGTATTCTATGATTCTCACTAGGTTAGCAAATTTGCCTGCAAAGATGCTCTTCTCTCTCTTTGTCAGGTGGATCCCATCTTTTCCTAGCAATCCTCCTTCCTGGATTGCTATGGTCAAAGAATCCAAAGTCCCTTCCCCTACACCACTTGTGTAACCATGCATCTGCCTCCACAATTTGATGGGCCTTACTCTAACTCTACATGGGCATTTTCCTTACAGGGAGGATGGATGAGAACACAATTTGCACCTCAAATGCCTTTATTCTTCTTCCCAGAACCACACAGACTGCTTTGACTGGCTCAAGGTCATGTTTGACAGTATCCCTGGTGCCCATATAGCAATATAGGAAGAGGTAGCGGACGATCAGTCTTGGCAGGTGCTCCATCACATCCTGAATTGTAGGACTAAGCAAGCAGTGCACTGCTGGAGTTTCCTGGTCTGATCAGCAGATCGATGACCCTGTCCTTCTTCAGAGGGTGGTGGTTGTCAGGGACTCCCATCTCCTCCTCTTGGGAGTGGGGGTTGTGGAGTCCCCACCCTGAAGACAATGCATCCCATGTCTTCTGGTTGATGGGGTCTCCTTTTGATCCCTTCCCTCAGAGGTCTCTTCTAAAGCATTCTCCACCGTAGTACCTATGCAGATCCTGAAATGGTGCTTACCTCTCTCTGCATTAGGGGTACTGGAGTTCTCCCCTTGCTTATTCTGAAGGACATACACACTCTATTTTCTTCCCTGCTCTGCACTGCCTCCTCTGATTCTTCAGCATTCTGGGCCTGCAATACCAAACAGACTTCTCTCCAAAAAGTCTTGATTTTCTCTGATGCAAGGTAGGGTACGTTCTTGGGCCTCTAGCCCTTTAACCTTCTCTTCCAAAATGGAGACTGACTTGTACTTCGTACAGATGAAGTTGCTTCTGTCTTCTGGTAGAAAGACAAATGTGCCATATTCTTTGTAAGTCACAACAGCCGATCACTCACTATCCATAGTGTCTTCCTTAGAGCCTCTTCAGATGTTGTATTTACTGCTCACGGAAGCCTGAAAGGCACAAAAACTCTTTGGGAACTTCCCCTGGGTGGACTCCATAGCAAACTCCCTTTGTTTACCGTTCTTTCGTTTCACAAAAGCTGAACATAAAACTCTGGTACACAGCCCAGTGCAAGACTTTTCTCTTCCACTCCCGGGCCTGTTCCATCCCGCAACACCTACTCTCACCTGCACTATTTATTGCATTTTTATCCCACTATTATGGCAGCAAGTTCTGCAAGACCAGTCAGCTCTCAGTCCCACTGCAGGGCTATAGTCTGATCCGGCTAGGAATTCTAAACTGTTGCTAAAAAATACACCCACTGACAAAAAATTAAAGCTGAAAGGTACCTGGAATTGATTTAAAGTAATTCTCAGTTACTTGTGCTGACTTGATGTGAACTGACCTTTTTGTCAATGCTGGTGGAGGTATTATCATGCAAAGTTATTTTGTGTAGATTATACATTAAACACTTGGCTATTTACCACTGTATCCTGGATTCTTATAAAAAGTACCTCACTTTCAGAAAACAAAATAAATTGAAATGACAAGATCCTTCTACCCCTGCAGACCCAGTCCTCCCACCAACCAACTGAAGGGCCAGCACAAGTGTGTTTTATGTTACTGCGAAGGATGTTAAATTTCAATTAATCAGATAATCGAATAGTCGATGGAATTTCCATCAACTACTCGATTAGTGGATAAGGGGGGAGGCTCACTATCCCATTACACCTCACCCTTTGAAATGTACAAGAGCCGTGGCAGGTCGTGTACATTTCAAAGGGAGAGAGGCAGCAGGAACCTGCCAGGAGCAAAGCACTCCCTCCTGCTGGCACAGGTTCCCTCTGTGCTTCTTCCTTTGAAATGTACAAGAGCCGCAGGCAGCTCATGTACATTCCAAAGGGAGAGGAGCAGCAGTGGGACCAGCGCAAACTGGACTGTTTCAATCCCCGCTCATGCCATTTCCCCACTGCCCCCTGTGGAGATGGGTTAGGGGTGGAACCTGCTTTTAAGCAGGCTCCCCCCAGCACCGGCTCATGTTCCCCGCACTTGCTGCCTCTCAGGTGGAGAGAAGCGCCTAGCAGAGTTCCTAGTCGACTAGTCACTTACATTCTTAGTAGAATACTGCGAGTGAAACTACGTTCTGAGTGGGATGTGCATGGTCTCTATCAGATGTCATGAGAGCCGTCGTCTACTCTGAGAAACTACAGATGTACATTTTGTCATCAGTTTCCCCTATTATTAAGATAGCTAAAAGCAATCACTGAAGACAAGTGGCAGTTTTAAGCTCTAACAAATTTAGGGGTAAAAACATATTTGACAGCTTGTAGCACTTTCCCAAACATCTTCACAGGGTGGGGAAATTAATGGTGTAGAAACAAGAATACCAGCAATAAACTGTGTACGTCTACCCAGCACTATATTAAATGCCCATTTCAGGACAGTGGATGACACAGCAGACTGAGGGAGTCCATGAACACCAGGCTAAGGAGAAGGGAAAGCTGCTGAATGGGCACTATACTCACAGGAGTTGTGTCTACGACGGAAACCTTTGGGCTGATTCAAGGATTCCACATGTCGTTCCATGTAACTCTTGGAGCACTGCTGCTGTTGTGGGGAGATGACAACTTCATGATTCTTCAGATCTGTTCTCCTTGGGATAGCTTGTGGGGCACTGCTGGAAGAGGTCGGCTTCTTTAGCAATTTGCCAGCACCATTCTGATTGGTACCCACTTGGCACCCAACACCAGGACCGCCCAGTTCAGTATGCTGCAGGTCCCCACTCTGTTTGCTGTCCCCAGGGCCTGGGATCTGCAGAATCTTCAGCTCAGTAATGTCAGCTGCCCTAAACATGGAACAGAGAACAAGAAGTGGGAGTCAGCATTGGCGTTCAGCTCTACAGAAATCAAACCTCTAATAGAAAAGCACGTTGGAGTCTGTGGCAGCAGCTTAATTCATTGGAATCCACAACAAACAACACTAACATGGATTACAGTATTTAGGGATGTTAAATATCGGTTAATTGAATAGTCAATTAACCTCATGAATTTTTATTGGTTACTCAACTATTCTACAGTCCCCAGAGGTGAGGCTGGCAGCCAGTGTGCTCCGGCCCCACTCCGAAGGAGCTCCCTGCCACTCTGCACTGCTGTCTCTGTGTCAGATCTAACAATTGTGTCAGAGGCAGCAGTGCAGGGTGCCAGATGGGAGCTGATCCGCAAGGGGAGTCAGTTTGAAAACCAGCTTCTTTCACAGACCAGCTGCTTGTCCAGAGGCGGGGCTGAGCACCCAGACCAAGTGCGAGCAGGAACTAAGCCAGGCTGCCTGCCCACCTGGCTCCTAACATGCTTTAAATGAAGAGTTCCAGCAGGGGTAGGTCCCGGACCTGGCCTGAGCTAGGCTGCTGGCCAGCCTGCTAAAAAAGGTACTGTTGGGGGTGGGGGGAAATGCGGATAATCTATAACATTAGCCTATAAGCAGTACTGGAAATTATCCACACTTTCACATGATAAAGAAGTGGGTGAAAGCTGTTACCTAGTCACTCCTGAAAGACTGGGTATAAGATTTGGTCTTTGGCTTTTCATTTGATTATTCTTCATAATCTTAGGAATATATCTATTATACTCGGATATAAAGGTAATGATATTACCAAGACAACATTACATGGATTCTTCCTCCAATTTTCTCCTGTCCCTCTTCTGTGTTTCAACTCTTTAAAGAAGAGAGATTCCCTAAGGTTGCTATTTATCTTTGCTTATAAATAAAATATGGTTACATCTGTGTATTTGTGGAAATCATTTAAATGTGTGTAGTAACTTTGCCAACCTGCACTGATAATAAAATATCTGAAGACTAATCTTTACTCTTCTGCAGTAACATAATAGAGAGATGGGGGCAGAGGTAGAGGGCAAGTAATATAGTATAACACTAGTTCCTACACAGCAGTCGGCGTGTTAGTTTTGGAAATGGTTGGTATGCGTCTCCAGGGCCAATCTGCACCAAATAGCATCAGAACTACAGAACAGGATTATTGTGCCAAAAGGAAGAGAATTCTTGTCAGTGTGATAAAAAGCCATTCCAGATGGAGAATAGCTGCAAAAGATAAGAAAGACTTGAACATAAATATGCAGCTGGAGCCATAAGAGAGATTGTTTGGGGGAAGGATCTAATTTAAATGATTAGCAGCACGACTTTCACTTCAATCATGCTTTAACGAACACAAAAATTCAACTTGCCCCAGGCAAAATTTCACAAGATCTCCCAAAAGTCCCATCTAACCATAAGCTGGATGACAAGTAATACACAGTGACCCTGTGCAGACACCCATTTTCATCATTCCTGCCAACATGCTTCTATTGTGACCTGCATCTGTGGTCACATTGTAACTCAAACAGCCAAAAGCCCAATGGCAGCATCTCTTATTTTCTGTATAGGGACTACCAAAAAGCAACAGGGGTACTTTTCTTGCCAAGAAAATGCAGTAATGAGGTGTGATGCAAAATGCCCGAATTTCAGCCATTCATAAAGTTTGTCTGGAAGAAGCAAAGAGAGGAGACACTACCTGAAGGTGACCTCTGGCACGATGCACTTAACCCCATTATGGAAAGGCCGCGTCAAGGAGATGGTCTGGTTGATCTGATCCACAGCTGAGACTCGTCCCTGATAGACGCCCAGGCTATCACCACAGTTAATGGACACAATGCTTCCAAGCCAGTCTGTAGCCATATTTCTGAGATGTGAACACTGTAAAATGAAAACAGAATTGGCTGGGAGGGGGGAAAAAATTGGGAGAATGACAAACCTAAGTAGCACCAGCTATATCTCCCATGCTACAATCCTGAGCCACATATAAGCACTTACTTCAGTGGCCTGTCTTTTCATAGTGGGACAGGGATAATACCTATGAATGCTGTAAGATTTTATTGAGGTTGCAAGACCCTTGGACAGTGACTATGCTAGGTGCTTCACAAACAAGCCTACAGGCATGGTTCTGATGCTACATCAACAATGCTCAGTAAAACATAGACCCACCAGCCAGACCCCTGAGAAAGAATTCTCTGGAGTAACTCCATGTTGGAGATTTTTTTGCTACTAGCAGAGTCATGCTAGTAAGTTACATGCCACTGTAGGCAGTCCCATCATACCACCCCTCTTCCCCCCTCCCCCAAAATAGTATTAACCTAAGTTTTGAAGAGAGTTAGGTTTTCTGCCCCCAGAGTATCCATTGGGAGGCTGTTCCAAAACTTCACTCCTCTGTTAGAAATCTTTGCCCGGTTTCAAGCCTCAACTTGTTGATAGCCAGTTTATATTCATTTGTTCTTGTGTCCACACTGATGCTTAACAAATAATCTTTCCCCCTCACTGGTATTTATCCCTCTGATGTATTTAAACAGAGGGATCATATCTCCTCTCAGTTTTCTTGTGGTAAGGCTAACCAAGGCAAGCTCTTTTGAGTTTCCTCTCATAAGGTAGGTTTTCCATTCCCTGGATCATTCTAGTAGTCCTTCTCTGCACCTGTGTCAGTTTGAATTCATCTTTCTTAAACGTGGGAGATCAGAATCACATGCAGAATTCCAGATGTCTCACAAGTGCTTCGTACAGTGGCACTAACACTTCTGTCTACTGAAAATACCTCACCTGGTACATCCTAGGACTGCATTAGCCTCTTTCATGCCTACATCACGTTGGCTGCTCATAGTCATCCTGTGATCAAACAATACACCCAGGTCTTTCTCCTCCTTTGTCTCTTCCAATTGATAAATCCCCAGTTTATAACAAAAGTTCTTTTGTTAATCCCTAAGTGTGTGACCTTGGACCTTGCACTATTCAATTTCATCCCACTGCTATTACTCCATCTTACAAAGTTGTCCCATCTTCCTGTATGAAATTCCTGTCCTCCTTTGTATTGGCAATATTTCTCAACTTTGTGCCATCCACAAATTTTATCATCACACACCCACATTTTGTCTCAAGATCATTAATAAAAATGTTAAACAAGATTGGCTCCAAGGCCAACCCTTGAGAAACTCCCTAGTAACTTCTCTCTAGCCTGACAATTCACCACTGCAGTCTCTTCTCTCACCAGTTCCCTAGCCACCTTTCAAATCTGATATTAATCCCAATGTTCAACTTAACTAACAATTTCCCATGTGGAAATGTATTAAATGCCTTACTGATATCCAGGTTGATTAGAGCTACTGCATTTCCCTTGTCTGAAAAAATCAGTTATTTTCTCAAAGATCAGGTTGGTTTGGCAGATTAACATACTTAATGGCTGTGTCTAGACTGGCCAGTTTTTCCGGAAAATCAGCTGCTTTTCCGGAAAAACTTGCCAGCTGTCTACACTGGCCGCTTGAATTTCCGCAAAAGCACTGACTTCCTACTGTAAGAAATCAGTGCTTCTTGCAGAAATACTATTATGCTCCCATTCAGGCAAAAGTCTCTTTTGCGCAAAAGGCCAGTGTAGACAGCTCAGATTTGTTTTCCGCAAAAAAGCCCCGATTGCGAAAATGGCGATTGGGGCTTTTTTGCGGAAAAGCGTGTCTAGATTGGCACGGATGCTTTTCCACAAAAAGTGCTTTTGCGGAAAAGTGTCCGTGCCAATCTAGACGCTCTGTTCCGAAAATGCTTTTAACGGAAAACTTTTCCGTTAAAAGCATTTCCGGAAAATCATGCCAATCTAGACGCAGCCAACATGTATACAGTGCTTTGAGATGGGATATTAGGTGACTAATATGTAAATATTTTAAAATGCTAAATTATCACATGGAAAAAAACCTTTGCTGCAGTCACCTGAGAAGAAAAAGAGCCACGAAAGCAGGTGTGGTCAACCTGGGCCTGAGAGAATGCCATAGTTTACCAATGTACATTGCCAAAGGACTACAGTACTGGTAATTTGTGAGCAGTCCCCACCAGGTGCCTCCTCCTCCTTCCCCGCACCTCCTGCCCACTGTAATCAGCTGTTTCATGGCACCTGGTAGGCTCTGTGGGAGGGAAGGAGCGAGGGCGTGATACGCTTGGAGGAGGAGGTGGAGCCAGGAGCTGAGCACTGGAAAGTTGGCACCTGTAGCTGCAGCCCCTGGGCAAGGAGCCACATATTAACTTCAGAAGAACCACAGGTGACTCCAGAGCCACAGCTTGGCCATCCCTGCACTAAGGGCATGTTTACCCTGCATCTGGGAGCAATATTCGCAGCCCAGATCTACAAAATAGCGCCAGTAAGGGCTCACACTATCACTCTAGAAATTGATGTGTAGATGTTTCGGCTTGGGCTACAGCCTGACCTCTGACTCCTGGGACATGCACTTGACAGCATGAGACACACAACGCCGTAATACATAGCTATTTTTAAATTGCTAGCACAAGTCTGTGGACACCCAAAGGTAGGCTTGCTCCAAAATCCAGTGTAGGCATGCATCAAATCCACTCACTGTCCTGCCTATACTTGGAAGTTGAATTGTTGCTGCAAATTATTTTAGCCTAAAATGTTCTCATCAACTGGTACTGAAAACAGTTTAAATGCCAGGATAAAATTCCAAGCTTTCAAACAATAAATCTGCAAGTGAGTTTTTTTGGTGGTCTAGCCTTGCACTAAAGCAGTTTCAATTACCCCTCAAGGAGGACCTACCACAGTTATTTTCAGCAATAGCTCATTTCCCCATTAAAACTAGGGATCAAGTGTCTACTCCCTCCTCCTTATTTTAGAACAAAAATATTGATAAGTCTAAGCGTATGTGAATTGCAATACTGCATTAGGCCCAAAGGTCATCTGGAATAATATTCTGTCTCTGACCAGATGCTGCAGAAGGTGTATGTAAGAACTGCACAATGGACAGATGGGAAATACAGGCAGTCCCTGAGTTACGCGGATCCGACTTATGTCGGATCCGCAGATACGAACGGGGATTTTCTCACCCCGGAGGACTGGAGCGGTGGGACGCCTGGTCCCGCCGCCCGCCTCCTCTGGGGCGAGAAAAGCTGCTCTCCGTCTCCCTGGTCTGCTGCGGGAGCCAGCAGACCAGGGAGACGGGGAGCAAAGCGGTGCAGGACCCGGGGCCGGACCTGCGGCGCTTCCAGATCAGCTCCCCTCAGCCGACCAGGGAGATGTGGAGCAAAGCCTGTGGCAGAGCAGGTGGGGCGCTGCCGGTTGGTCCCACAGCACCGCTCCTTGGCGCTAGTGGACCAACCCGGCAGCACCCCAGCTACTCTGCCCCAGGAGTCCCCAAGTTAGCCGCTGCTGAAACCGACCAGCGGCCGGTGCCCCGGGCTTCCTGGAATCAGCTGCTGATCAGTTTCAGCAGCAGCTGACTTGGGGACGCCTGGGGTTCTTAAGTTGAATCTGTATGTAAGTCAGAACTGGTGTCCAGATTCAGCAGCTGAATCTGGATGCCAGTTCCGACTTACATACAGATTCAACTTAAGAACAAACCTACAGTCCCTATCTTGTACGTAACCCGGGGACTGCCTGTAACCTGCCCCTCCCCCACATAAAAATCAGGGAGACCCAATAGTCAGACTATAGTGTAAACCCTGAGGAAAGAGGTTTAATATGCCTTCCAAAATTCCTGGTAATTAATTACATAAGTTGGATATTTCTGATATCTCTGTAAAAGGGATTGGATATTTAAAATCTTGTTAGGCTCTTTGGCTCATCCAAAGCTCACACCGAAACATGCTGCCTTTCCCCCAAAGATGTAAAAAAAGCAGCTTGTGCCAATGTACATACTCCCTTGTTGACCACAAGACAGTAGCACACAGGTTCCTTCTAACATTAAAGAGAAGAGCCTAGGAGACAAACAGCAAGGTTCTATTTATTAATAGGGCCCTACCAAATACAGAGCCATATAAAATGTATCACAAATCATGAAATCTGGCCTTTTGTGCGCTTCTGCTCTATATCAGGGCTGGCCAACTCGCGGCTCTTTGATTAAGGAAATGCAGCTCCTGCTCCTTCTGAGCTGCGCCCCAGTGCCTGCTCACAGCCGGCCGCTCTGCGCACATTCCCCAGCGCCTGGAGGTAGAAGCGCGTGGCGGCGGCAGCGACGGCTCCGGGATCCAGGCATTAAGTGAGGGAGAGGTGTTTGGGGGACCTGAAGCACTTTAAACTCAAAGTCTTCATGTATGCAGAATAAGGCAGCCAACACAGATGTCATATTTAAATTCCAGGGCAAAAAAAGAATCAGTATCTACCTGGTTTACACTGTTTCTTTAAAGAAAATTGAAAGGCTACTATTTGCCAGGCTGAAGCAATTATTCTGAGATATGAGTCTCTCCCTTATTGTTTTTGAACCTCTCATATTTGCAATCTGGGACAGTCCTGAATTTTTAGCACTATAAAAAAAAGCCATAATCTTCATAAGCAGGGCTTGACAAATAATGCAATCTACTCGCCTGTGGCAAGTATATTGCAACCCGGAAGAGCCGGGTTCGGGCGATCTGCGCATGCGCAGATCGCTGAACAGCGCAGCTGGCGAGTGGGGCTTGCCGCGGTTCGACGAGCCCTGTTCATAAGTAACAAAAATGAGGAAACCTTACCAGACATCACAAGCTGGAGTGAAACAGCCACATCAAATTGTGCTAATTTACTTCTCAGTTCAGTTTAATTTTAAAAACCACACAGGTCATAAAAGGGCAGTAGTGTTAAATTTAATATACATGGTGGGGATTTTTTTTTAAGTGTGCAATTACTGTATTTTTAAAGATTTTTTTTATTTGATATTTGTTCCTTGTCAAGTTCTCTGAAGATTTATGGACTGGCCATGAATTCTTTAAGTAACAAAAAAAAGTGTTTTACGTTTTTTTTGTCCAAAATGTCCTGTAATGTTATTTTTATCACTACATTTTGTGTACTATTATCTATCTATAGATACATAAAAATAAATATATAACACGTGGCTTTTTGCACTCTATCCACAGCTATTTTGGCTCTTCGTCTAACTGGTTGGCCACCCACTCTATACGATACAGATTTCACAGGGGAGACTAGTGTTTCTCAAATTGGGGGAGGGGCCTTACCCAAAAGGCAGTTGCAGAGGGTTCCAAGTTATTTTAGGAGGATCACAGTATTGCCACCCTTCCTTCTGGGCAGCCTTCAGAGCAATGCCATTATAGTAGTAGTTATGTTGGTTGTGTGCCCAGATCTGAAGGCAGCACTCCTCCAGCAGCAGTGCAGAAGGATGGTAACACCACACATGTTGCCCTTCCTTATTTGTGTGCTGCTGCGTTCAGAGCTGGGTGGCCAGAGAATAGCAGCTGCTAACTAAAGGCCCAGCTCTGCAGGCAGCAGTGCAGAAGTAAGGGTAGTGATATATACTATGCCATTTTACTTCTGCACAGCTGTTGGCAGAAGCTCTGTCTTCAGAACTGGATTCCTGGCCAGCAGTCACTGCTTTCCATCTGCCCAGCTCTGAAGGCAATGCTACTGCCAGCAGCTGTCCAGAAGTAAGGGTAGGAATATTGCAACCCCCATACAATCTTGCAAAGCGCACACAACTCTTTTTGGGGGGTCAGGACCCCTACAATTGCAGCACCAGATTTAAATATCCCAAATCATGAAATTTACCATTTTTAAAATCCTATGACCGTGAAATTAGCCAAAATGGACCGGGAATTTGGTAGGGCCTTATTTATGAATCATATCGTGGTAATGCCCAGAAAGCCCAATCCGGAGCAGAATTCATTGCACACACCACTATAAAAGTGCACAGCAAAAGGGAGTCCCTGCTCCAGTTTGCTGACAGCGATTAAAGCGCAAGGCCTGCTTGTAGGCTGCCTCGTTCCACGTGTGACGGGAGGCGGCGGAGCAGGATCCCAGGCTCGCGCTCTCTTGCAAATGAAAACAAAACGCCCCCGTGCAGGGCGCGCTCACGCTGGGAGGACTCCAGGGGCCACGGGGGAATAAGCACAGCAAAAGGGAGTCCCTGCTCCAGTTTGCTGACAGCGATTAAAGCGCAAGGCCTGCTTGTAGGCTGCCTCGTTCCACGTGTGACGGGAGGCGGCGGAGCAGGATCCCAGGCTCGCGCTCTCTTGCAAATGAAAACAAAACGCCCCCGTGCAGGGCGCGCTCACGCTGGGAGGACTCCAGGGGCCACGGGGGAATAAAGGCGCCTGGGGACCAGCAGCCAGGACTCGGCTCGCCCCGCCGCGCAGC